CCCTGTAAATGTTCCAATTAAATTTCACTAGATATAGTAAATCCAAAGTTGGGATGGGAACATAGAAGCCGTTTTGACCAATAATGAATAGTTTTGGCACAAAAAAATCCTAAAGTTGAAAAATCTCGATTTTGAACACCCTATATCTCTGTAATCATTCCCGCTAAACCCCAAGTGTGATAAATTGATGAAATCAGCTCTTCAGGAAGAATCTAAAAATACAATGAAATACAGGGTGTTCCATATAAAAAAATCAATTAGTATTCTGTAGATCGTTTGTTCCGAGCACCCTGTATTTTCTGATGCAACGGGAAAAAATTTTAGAAAAATCATTCTAGATTATCTTCCAAATTTTTAAAACGGTTCAAGAAAAATTGAGCTAGAGGGGGGAAATTTATGGTGACTCACCCTGTACCAGTATATCACCTGACGAAGCTACTGTGTTAGCGAAACATGCCGTGTGTTTGAGAATTTTGTGGAAATCTTATCGTTTGTGAAGTTTTTACAAATATCTCATTTGTTTCAAATGGGTACACCAACCGTGGAAAGCCGGACCGGACAGCTAGTTAGTTATAAAGGGTCTTTCAAAATCCGATGTGAATATTTCAATGACTTTTTCTTGGAATCAAAATGAGACTTTTTTTCATATAATGATGTGTCCTAAAATGCTTCCTTTCGGAGCTACAGCCACAGTGAGTTAAAAAAAAAAGATTATCTAAAATCGTAACCAATACTCTTAAATACTGTATGTAGGTTAATCGAGGAGGTGGTACATTCATAATTCCAGATTTTTGGGATTTTCTCTCTTTGTTTCTACAAAATAAAAATATGAATATTATTCCAATATACGTGCAGTGATATTCATATTTTTATTTTGTAGAAACGAGTAGGGAAAATCTCAAAAAATCTGGGATGATGAATATTCCCCTCATGCTTAAAAAATTATGTAAACCCAGTTTTGAGGGAGTTGGAGAGAGATTCACAGTTTTATTGTCCAAATTTGTTTAAATATGTTCGAATAGAGAAACTCTGACTCTGAATAGCATGATCTTGTGAGCCATAAAAAAATTTAAGCATTCGACATCCTGCATTTTTTTTCTTTCAACCACTCGTTTACCAGAAAATCGTATTCAACGAAACGAAGAAGTCACGACATCGTTTTTGAACGCAATGGTTTAAATATTTGCATACGGAGGTGATCGTATGTCGGAACGCATTCGAGACTGCTATTTCAGAGGCGTGCAGTACTGGAATGCTTACACTTGATCCGATAATATGATCACAGATGTTACATATTCTTTTTTACCCAACTTACAGTAGCTGTAGCTCGAAGAGGGTGCATTTCAGGATAAACGTTTGTATGAAGAAAACTTCTCATTTTGATCCTAACAATGAGTCCTTGAAATATGAATTACCCTGTGTACCTGTCACAGTGGTACACATTGAGAACACGGAAATCGACAAGGCAATTGATAACTCAAACTTGACTTGATCTCCTGATTGTTTCATTCGAAAACTGAGTGAAATAGTCATACCTAATATCACGATGTTTTGACATTGGAGGAAATTCTGTCGCTTCATTGAGTACAGCCACTCGTCCTGACAAACAATTGAGTTAACAATGAAAGACAGGATGATGAGAACATATTCAGAACAAAGTGGTCTTTTGCTAGACTATTCCACTTTTACGAAGCATAAAATCATTTTCATTATAAATGAGTGATTTACTCTTACAAGTGCAGCCATGGTCACATCGTTGAAAACACCAACGCTGATAGACCAATCAGAATTGAAAGACAATAGTGTTTTCGCGATAACACAGGATGTCTCTGGCTTGTGATTTGTCAGATCATGTAATGAGTGAAATAGCCTGCTATGCTATATCTATAGATACAAAATATGGGAAGGTCTACTTTCTGTTTCATAACTTTCTCTACGCATTTTATGCCCTAACTGAATATGCAATGCGGTTCTTCAGGTTCTGAAGATCTAGAGTCCTGATTATTTAATTATTTCGAACATACCATATTCATCTAGTAATATGAGAATTTGTATAACGTCTTTTTCATCAAATGTTTTTAATTCACCTTCTAGAAAAAATGTTATGGAGCGCCTCTGTATACACAGTCATATAACATATATTTATATATCGATACTGAAGTCATAACTCCCTACACAAATGCAATTTTATCATGTGTGTTCAATATCGCACCATCTGTCGCAAGGAATTCCTTTTATGTTCGCAAGTCTAGTGAAACGTAACTAACTCGTTTCGATTTTGTGAACTTTCCTCCCCTTATCCTGGAAATGCGAGAGAAAATACGTTCTGCTCAAAATATGCATACTGATGAAACCTCAGACTTCCTATGTGACTTCAAACGATTTATTATTGGATTTTTCCATAAACGTTTTATAAATAATGTTTAATGTTGTGTGTTTGAATGTCGTTTGACTTCAAAGCTGATGGTTTGTGAGTGAAATTATTCACTCGCATTGAAGGTATAATAGTATTGAAAAAAAAAACAACGTACCCCAATTTGTCATATGAATATTGTTTCTGCTCTATACAAAAAATCATCAGAGAAATATGTATTTATTCATTTTATTAAATAATTCATTCCATGATTCACGAACTTATCAAGTTTATCCAATTTTGCCTTTAATCCATACTCTTCTCTCTTAATATGGCTGTATGGGTGATAAATGCTGAGAGGTGCTCACTTTGGGTCAAGTTCGCTCTAGATCGCGGTCACGAATGCCATCTGGGGACAATCCTGCACTGATAAGTGCCTAAGCTTGGAACCAGTCTGTAGGAAGTCAAATGTCGCTGAATAATTTGAGCACAACTCAGCATTTAGGAAAGAAACACTTGCGATCTGTATTCGCCTATACGAATCGTTGCCTATATATAGATCTCGGCAGGATGTGAAGCTTTGTTCTGCGTGGCATATTGCCAGAAAACTGATTGTTTTCCTCTCGTTTACTATCATTTTCGTTCATTTTATGAATTATTATGGAAATTACTTGAATTTCTTTCTCTTCGGTTTTTTTGCGATTTTCCTAGTTGAAAAATCGCCAGTGTGGCAATCAGTCACTAAAATTTCGATAGGAATTTCAATTTTGGAGTGTTTCTGTCCTTGTGCACAAGATGACGTTGTGTCCGTTTCGCAGTGGCCGAACGCCTCGTGGGTATTTAATGCTGAGAGTTGTTTACGTTATGTCAGGGGCGCCCCAGATAACGGTCACGACTGCGATCTGGGGACACCCCGGCACTGCTGAGAGCCAAAGCCCGAAACCAGTCTGTAGGTAGTCAATTGTTCCTGAAAAATTTAAGCACAATTCAGCATTCAAGGAAAAAAACTTGCGATCTATATTCGCCTCGCAATCGTTGCATATAGATTTCAGCGGATGTAATTCAAGGTTCGGCGTGGCATATAGCCAGGAAAGTAATTGTTTTTCGCCCATTTTCGATCATTTTAGGAACTATTGTGGAGATGACTCTTGAGTTTCTTCATCTTTGTTCATCCATCATTGTTGCTATATTTTCTACGCCAATCACTGATGAACTTCTGATTACTCCCATTTTATTGAATTAACATGTTCAATATCGTTGAATGAATGCAAAACATTTCACCAAATTCAAATGGAAAGTTTGTATGGACAGGCATCTGCATCATTCTCTATACTCCTTTTCTGCAACTGATCAGAAATAGTAATCCCAGGTAGATAGATAGAACCGATGGGTAGAACTCCAGTCCGTTTCAAATGTAATCAAATTGTCTCAAAAGTAATCAAATCGTCTCAAATGTAATCAAATAGTCTCAATTGTAATGAAAGACATCTCAAATGTAATCAGAATGTCTCAAAAAGTCTCAAATGCCTCAAAATGTCTCAAAGAGTACTCAATATAATCAAATACTCAAGAGTCTCAAGGAGTCTGAAAATTACACAAATTTAATGAACAGGTACTCACTTATCCAGTGTACACCAGTCTCAACCAGTTGTCTACCCCTCGGATAAAACGAACATGTTTGTAACTATCGAGGATGATGGAATATGACTGAGTAGGTATATTTTTATGTATGCTGAGATTTTTAGAGTAGAAGGTTCACATCTTTTCCAACAAAATCAAAGAATAATGCGAATTTAGTGGAACTGGCGTAGGAAATATGGAAAAAAGAGTTACGACTACTCTCTGTAGCACGTCACTCCTGAATAAATAATCGAAATCAGAGTATTATCAAATATAAGAAATTCTGAGAAGATCTCAGCCATATTTGAGTTAATTCTTCACCGATTTTTATTCTTCAATTTCAACACCCTGTATCTCTTAAACTAGCTTCATGAACCTACCTGATTTTTCACCAAATAATGACACCTATCTTCCTGAATGCATGTGACATATGCAATAATCCAAATGTCTTTAAAATATAATACGACAATATTTTGGCAGAAAAAAGGGGATCGTAATAATTCACTGTACGAACAACTGATACATCTCAGTTGCCAAGTTATTCAATGCAAACATCGCTATTCGCTAACTTGTACAAGGCACATGGGCCTATAAATGAAAGAAGGCGTAGAGATTTCAGCGGTAGGTATATTCCAAACACCAGTTTGGGGATTCTCTTAGTACCACGAAGAAATAGGTCTTTTCAAGAACAAAGAGCATCAAGGTCATTGATAGTTTTATTTATTCAATGTCTCAGCGAAATAATAATAAGTAATTCACACTGAACATGAAATCTCGAGCACATTAGGAAAACCACTTCATCCTGCAACTGAACAGCCCAGCCCGTATTTGCTGTGTTTGCAGCTTCCTCTGTATTATATTGTTACCTATTTCAATTCACTAACGAATGTTTGTTCAATTTGGAACACTGAACACGCTGAGTTTCTGAGATCTATGTTCAGCCGTATTTCTCTCTAACTCCAAGTTTAGTTGTTAATGTAGGTACATTGAGCACATAACTTGAACGGTTTATTCTATTCCAGATATAATGCTCCTGATACTGAACATCCTAATGGTCCTTCTCTTCCGGTGTCACGGCCTGGCGTCAAACAATTGCGCCTTCAACTCGATGTGCATTTGTTCGGCGGACCAGAACGACCCCAACGCCAAAACAATCCACGGTGTCAGCTGTCTGACAGTGCCATTCTACAAGTTTCCAAGTGAGTACAACAACAATTGTTAACAAATGTTAATAAATACAAAAAGATCAAAGTCATTTCCACACCATACTCATAAAATGAATAGCAATGGTAGATTTCGGGAGAAAAACAACTAATTTCCTGGCTAACCCCACGCAGAACATTGAACTACATCCTCCCGAAATCTATACATCGACTCGTATGAACGAATGCTGATACAAGTGATTCTTTCCTGAATGCATATTGATTTCGATTTAGCCAGGCCACGCGAGACACCTACATACCGGTTTCGAGCTCTTTGACTTTCATCAGTGCAGGGCAGTCTCCAGCCAGCAGTCCTTAGACCGACGACTAGAAGCGAAGCCTAGCCAAACAAAAATCAAGTCGGCATTATATTCCCTCAGAGGCGTCCTCCATAGACAATATGAGAGCAACGCCATCTGAGTAGAGAAGAAGGAAAGAAACAGTCCTAAACCGAAATTCCCATACGGGAGTGGCTGGTTGCCCGACTGGCATAATTTCAACTAAGATTGACCGGTCTCAGAACTTGGCTGGAGACTGCCCTGCACTGATGAGAGTCAAAAAGCTCGAAACCAGTCTGTAGGTGTCTAGAGTGGCCTGGCTGAAACGAAATCAATAGGCATCCAGGAAAGAATCACTTGTATCAGTATTCGTTCATACGAGTCGATGCGTAGGTTTCTGCGTGGCATTTGCCAGGAAAGTTGTTGTTTTTCTCCCGAAATCTACCATTGTTGTCCATTCTATGAACAATGTGTGGAAATGACTTTGAGCTTTATGTATTCATTCAACATTTCATCCAACTTTGAGCATTTTGGCTATTTCGTAGTTGACATTATAATGTTAGCTTTGCCGTATCGCTCACTTCGCTCTAAGATGCGGAATGCAAATGAAACTTTAACTGACGCCTCCAGTCAGGTGATTTCCGAGAACTCATGTTCTGGTGAGATGAATGAGAATTATTACAAGTTATCTATAACAAACCAAGAAGTGTTGAGCCTAGTATGTTCAAGTTGAATCAGAGAATTGAAAGAATTGGTTATTTGGTAGGGTCCATTTTTAAATAGTGTTGCCGGTTGAGAACCATAGAATCCAGCAATATAATATTTTGCAGTAAATAGAAGGTTGGGTCACTAAGGACGTAGGGTTTCTCAAAATCCTCGCAAAATCGTTGATTGTTGCACATGAAATATGAATTGGCAGATTAGAGCTTGTATTCCAATGATGGTATGTCTACATAAACAGAGGACTCTGGAATTCCCTCAAACACGTTAGAAGGTTTATGAAAAATGATAGAAACAACATTTCACCTCGGGAAATCAGGAGTACCTATACAGAATTCACTGTTAATCTTTCACATGTGGAGAAAGAAGGAATGAGAGTCAATCATTTGGAACCATTGAGAATCAACAAACGCTAAAGTTCTAACAATTCATGGCACATTACGATCGACTATAGATTTCAACGATTGAGCGCTGCTGAATTTATTTTCTTGGTTCCGTCACACAAAATTTCAATGAAGATTATTCTCTATACTATCCGAAAAGAAGAATCAGTTTTAGTTTGATCGCAGGTAATCATATATATTCCTTTATGAGTTGAGCATGTCAATGTAATGTGAGTTTATTGCTCGAGTATTACACTCGGAGAAAATCTACTATGTTGTAGAAAAATCGTGATATTCAGTATTTTGTAAAGGTTTAACAATCAATATGAATTGTTATCGGGTAACATCCCAGTCAAATGAAAATTCTGTGAGGTATGTAGGTCTTCCAAGAGAGATAGAGCGTGATAAGTTTAGTATCTGTGAGAAATTTTTTTGATTTATCTCAAACCGTTTCGAACTTTTCATCAAAAAACAATTTTCAGACTCGTATATTCAACACCCTTTATCTCGAAAACGACGTGTTGATAGTATATGTTTATATAAACTTTTTCTCATTATTTCAACGAGTAAAACACACTGTTGAATTTTTTTGTATTACAAACAGGACCACCCTGTATAATAAACTATGTAGAAATGGTGTGGTGCACATTCTATGGCTCTCAATGATAAATTGAATCTCAGAACCCAGATTAGTTGTCTTCCACTAATCCGCTATTTTTGAAGTTTGATTCTATAGCTCATTTTTTTGTGTCCCATCCTGTATATCACGCATTTTTGATTATTTTGATTATTCCAAGTTGTGGATGAGTTATAGCTGATATCATTATATCAATCGAAAGTATATACAGTGTATATGTATATACAGAGTGTCGCAAAAGTCAACTTCGTCTCTTATATGATGGCCCCTAATACACATAATATCTCCATTGCAGGTCTACCTGAGTACAGCATAGGCCAACTGGAGGTGGTAGGAACGAAAACTGCCGTCCTAGAGTCTGAAAGTCTCACGGCCTTCCAGGTCCAAGCACTCATATTGACCAATAACCAGTTGCAGCACGTGGCGGATCGAGCTTTCAGGTAATTTCTCACTTCCCGAATAACTAATTGGCAATATAAATCTCGCCGTACTGTACAAATGTTTCCGAACTTCTGAGCTGTCGATATCCAAACAACTTCAGCGAATTGAATGAGCACGCTGAGAAATGAAATGTACGAACGTATAAACCCGTGTTTCATGAATATTTCATCGTAAAAGAACACAACACGACGTGTGAGAAGTTCACAAAGAGTTCGACCTAGATAATCAGAGGGCATAATAAATCTTTCCACTACTGCCTATTTATTGTGTTCGGAACACGCCATAAAGCTATACATATAAATGTCTATTGAAGTCGAATAGCGAATGGATTAACGTTTTATGTTGCGTAGGTCGGTAACGAATAGCAGGTGAAAACGAATTCCCTGGTGTTAGTACTGAATGTTTCAGACAAAGAAAGCATATTGTTGCACAGGCGAGTTATACCAAGACATCAAAAATGTAGATGATGATGGAGATTGTATCGCATTTTTTCAGCTTCAACCAGGTAATACAAATTTATCTGACATATGTAACATTTGGGCTACAGCTACTTACTAGTAACCTATTGAAACATTATTGTTGCTATCCCAACTAGCATTTTCAGTCACAGGTAATATAGTGTTCAAGGAACAATAACCTGTATTCAGTGATACTTACGTATTCATCACTTATGTCATAACTGCATTGTTAAAATCCCAGTGATGAGATTAAATTTGTGTTTGCTCCAACATAATACATTCGAAGTGCGTGAAACCCTTATAGTTTGTTTCAGAAGTGATCATTCCAAAAGTACTTCTTCTCGAAACTATGAGTTTCCGTAACTTTATTGATACATTTCTTTTGTAACGCTAACGTCCTCATGAAAACTTCACTGCAGCATATATTTTATAGTAACTACTGAAGTTTCTTCGAAGTTGTCGATATTTTATTCATCACCTTCTAATTGAGTGACTTCTTTGTGACATTCGGCGTGAAATATTGGTGATTTCCACTTTAATTGACCCACTTTGTGTATTTTGATTCGTCTTACTCACTTTGTGACTTCAATAATTATTCCCTATCAGTTAATTTGATTTTTTTGGTTTTCGGTTGGAAACTACTTCTCCACAGTCACCTATTCGTAGGTAACTAACGAGTCCCTAATGTTACTTTTGAACTCATTCCCAATATTGATTGAAGTAAGGTTAACCGAAACCGAATGAAATTTCAGCTCTATAGTTATTGTTAAACATCATGTAGAACAATGGTATAATTAGGAATTAGGAAAAGCTGTATTTTATGGATGCATCTTGAATTTCTGGACAAAAACATCACATTTATCGATGAAATGACTGTTGTTCATATTTTTCATGTAATGTAAGTGTATACAATATGCACACCTTGAGCAACTTCCTTCGTTGAAAAGATAATAATTGTGTTTGTTGAGCCTACAATGCCCTGTGAGAAGTCCCACTATTATCCTAGTTGAACTTCGTTTCTGGCTCAGTAGATATTCTGTATTCTGTATTAATGAACATTTTTGCCTGTCTCATACCTGGCGAGTTGTTCCACCATTCTTGAGATTTGGTTTGCATCCATTATACTAGTCTTTTGGATTAGGCATTCCAGAACCCGTGACCTAAAAATGGCCGCTGTACCTGCCCCGTTTCCGTCCGTACTTCAAACGTCAAAAATTTACTTCCTCTTCCCCTAAATTGCGAGTTTTAAGGTTATGATCGTCACTGATTTTGTTTTGATTTTTTGATATTGTAGTTTTTATCATGAATAAAGTGAATATTTATTGAAATTAGAAATTTCTGGTGGTCATAATATAGAGCGATACAAAGAGAAACTCAAAGTCAGTGATTCTATTGATCCCTATTCTCTGCAGAATAATGGAAACCCAGGCTCCGATGTTTCCTGGAGTCACTTCAATAGATTAACTCCTAGTTTTTATACTGCAGAGCAAACGAAAGCTCATGAAAGTTTGAGTGGGTATACATTTTCTGAGGCATGTTTTGTACAAATACCTATGTGGAGTGAAGAAAATCAGTGACATATATGTTTGTTTTTCTAGGCAGTCATACTATGAGTGGATAATTGGATAGTACCTGTTAAATATTCGATATTTTTGTAGGTGAAACATTTTCAAATGATGATTTTACCCTCACTAAAAGTCTGGGTATTGTGTAAAAGTGATCAAGGAATAAATACAGAGCCATTACACCTGCATGGCTGGGCTGTCAGAAGTTTGTAGTCATGTTGCTTGTCTCTATAGCTTAACATGTATTCACAACTGCGGAACTGCCAAGTCAAGTACCCATTTTCAGGCAAAATGGATGTCAAGTACCCATTTTCAGGCAAAATGGATGAAACCTAAACCTTCTAATGTTACTCTTGCTAGTCTTAAAAATCTGAGAGAAAATCACTCTAAAGTTAGAACATATTCAACCTATAGAAGGCAACAGCTCTCAGAATATTGGAATCTTCAAGAGAAATTGACCTAGCAAATATCTGATATCCCTGCCATGCATAAGCAATTATTCATATTAATTCCTCAATAATTTTCACACATATTATAGTGAGTGTAGGTACTTTCCTCCTTTGATACCCTTTTACTTACAAGGACAACACTGATTCCCTCCACTTTACCTATTTGTGCAAATCCTGTTTGAAAAATTTGTATCAGACTCCTGTAAGCTCTGATCTGCAAGGATTTAAACTATCATGATTCAACTCTAAATATCTAAAAATGTATACTGACCATAGTAACTCCAGAAAATATTTTGATGTTAGTCTTGCTCTGCAATATCACTACTGGAAATTTATGTCAAAAATATTCACTTTGTTCTTAACTACTAGACAAATATGAAAATTCACAAATAAGATATTGACACAATTCCCCCAAATATCTACACTATTGATGAAATCAATTATTCTTCAATTAAAAATTAAGCTATATTATAAATAGTTTCTTTCAACCTTATAATTCATTAAAACACTACATATTCATGCTTCATGATTTTATTCATCTTAACTATAGTTTTCTCAAACACATTTCAATGTAATACCTGTAATAATAATTATATAGTCAACAGAATGTGTTTCCAGAAAGTCCACCAAGTCATTTTTGTGAATTATCTTGAACATTTTAATGTCTTGTTAAAGTTTGCTGTATTGACCAACAATTCATTGAAAAACAGATCAACCTTGTTCATCAATAATTCTTCTTGAATTTTCAATTTAGAAATTTTGACAATCATCACAGTTCGATGTATCTATAGATATCATCATCACACAAAATACTTATTAATAATTACAAACATTTGCTATCATAATGAGTACCTATCATTCATACACAAAATATTTATCACATTAACTCAATATAACATAGTAGGTAATTCAGATTTTTTTAAACAATACTCATCAGTCTTATCACAAGGAATATTTTTATCAACAATTTGATTATGAATTAACATATATTATGAATCCACTGTTCATTGATGTTTCATGAAAAGTTCGTGAAAATTGACTAACCAAAAGTGTTGGCACAAAGAAAAATCTCTTACAACAATATAATAAATTTCAATCTTGTTCATTTGTGTTTTTGAAAAAAACCGAGTATTTTTTCTCCTGTGTTCCCAAATATCTACTACTTATCATGATTTATTATTTAGGTGAGTTGTGAGTGAGCAAACCAGTTTTGTTCAAAATTCAAAAACAGGCATATCTAAATAGCAATTTTGCAAATGTAATCTTATCATTATTTACTCTGAAATGGTGACTTCCACATAAAATATTGTATCTTATTTTTTAAATCATGATTAGCAGTTTGAATTCACTATTTTCTCCAGGCTGAAAATTAAATATAAATTAAGCCAATCCTGTCAATTTGAAATGTGGTGATTTTTTGCACAATATAGAGGTTTGGAAGCATGAGGAACAATATGAAGTTAGTTTTCATGCCAAAATATTCCTAATATGATTTCATAAAAATCAAGATATTGAGGGATACCAGTTGAGGGATATAGAGGAAGGGGCTTTCAAAGTGAGATATGCTGTATATATTTGGTTCCTACTTATCAAAGATTTGTCTATATTGCATAACAACTCTATTACTATATATCTTCATCAATCTAGAACATAATATATTCAGTCCAATTGAACAATTGGGGGACATATGTTGATATTTGCACAGCAAATTGTAATGATTTTGTGGAGAGTTGGATCATCACCACATTATAAGTGAAATTGCCATGTTGATCAGCTAATATCCTGTACTTCTGTTTCATTGCACCAATAATTCACTCCACATGAATTCTCACATTGGCAGTAGCTCTAGTTCCCACAATCTCAGTAAGATGTAATTGTTTCTTTCCTTTTGTAAAAGCTTGAATCTTCACTTGGGCATTCAAAATTTGTACATAGTCACCAACCAAAAAGCCATGGTCACCTAAAATAAAATCACCTACAAATTGAATTTGTATTAATTGAAAGTTGGATAGATACTGTTTGAAATTCAGATTGTTAGAACAGTAGACATACATAAATAGATTGAAAGTCTGTACAGAAACTCACCTGGAATAATATTATCTATTAATTTTGAATTGATTGTTATGGGATAATCAGATGCTCTTTCTCCACAAGCCTCACTGATCAAACACACTGTTTCTTGTGGGGTGATTCCTATCAAATTATAATTAGATCAGCACTAGGCTGACAGCTGTGATATTTGTTAGTGAATATTTATCACATTCAGCAGGAACTATACTAAGGTTCTCATCTTGAAAATCTGATGATCCTACAGCCTGTTCATTAGATGGCCCTGCAGCCTGTTTGAAATCAGATGGTCCTGCAGCCTCACCTTGGCATTCTGATGTTTCCATATCATTGATAGTTTCCTTAGATTGGTTGTCAGAGGCTAAGCTATCATATCCCAAAAATAAACTGGGAGCCCAGTTAGGATTATTAACATCTGATAGATATGCAGGTTTCCCTAAAATTTCCATTATACCTATTA